GAGCAAAATTCACTGAGGAAAATTGGAAAAAGGCATTTATTAGGTGTGGAGAAGAAATAGATCTCATTGTGACTTCACATCACACTCTATTGCTGTCTGACACATGAGCCCATCTCCCTCTGAGTCACTAGAAGGACCTGGGTCTCCTTTCAGGCCATAGGAACTCCTATGCTAAACAAAGGATGAGTTGCTTTAGAGTGAGGGTTTGCTGCTGTGGAACAGGGAGGTTCTCCTTCTTCCTCCTCCTCCTGTTTCTTTCCCTTGCCCTGTGCCAGTTTCCTCTGTGTGACACCTGCTGAACTGGTTCAACTCTCAAAGCAGGCAAAAAGCACTTTACTTTTTGCTGGTTGTGCTTTTCAGGTTGTCTGTTGAGCAGAACCAATTCACAAAAATGTCTGGTGAGCATCAAAGCCTGTGCAGACAAGCAGCAAGACCACAGAGCACAGATACTTATTTTGGTGTCACCAACAAGATTAATTCTGCTTTTCTCACCTTCACCCTGAAGAGCAGAGAGTAAGGCACCACTGGCAGTTGTGGGAGGGCTGAGGTAAGAGGTTGGGGGTGTTTCTGAGCTGTTTCTGAGGGCGAAAAACTTCAATGAGAACTGTCACACCTTAAGCCTGGTAGTGACATGCTCTAGTTCTCCAGACAGCTGTGATCACTCTTGCCTATTGGCACACAGCATAAATATTGTATGGCTGCATTATGGATTATGAAATTAGCATCATTATCAGATTTAGATAGAAAGAAAGCCTGGCTAAATGTGAGGAAAATGGATTAAAATGAAAAATAAATGCTCTGTTAGTGAACAGTGCTAGAGGAAGAGTCTGGAGCTGAAAGCTCCTTTATCCAGGTTAGGCAGCCTTGTGTGAAAACTACAGTCCATGCATTGGTAGAGGCAGTTTTTAGCTTAGAGCTATATCAAAGAGAAATTTGATTCCTGCAGTGTGATTTCCCTGTTATCTTTAATGGATTAGCTGGTGTATTGACAAACAGGAAAGGTGGCAGGGTTTCAGAAGTAGATAGATGCCCACCAGGAATTTGAATGACTTCATCTAATCCTTCTGCAGGGAACTCTACCAACAGCAAAGTAATGACTTCTGAAACTAAATCAGTTCTTGGACAACAGGTTCTTGCTGAAGTTCATGACTCCAGTGCAGCTATCCTTATTTACACAGTAGTTCCCAATTCTGCTAACAATTAATCTGGTCTCTCTGTTGACACCAGCACACTTACACAATTTTGTAAGAGCACAGTCAAGTGTCTAGAGAGAAAAATCTCTTTATTTCCTGGAGCTGCTATTCCCCAACTGCTTGTTATTTCCAGCATCTTCTGTTTCTCCTGTCATGAAGATGCATTTCTCACTTTAAATTGGCTTCATCCAATCATCTTTCTGTTTTTTTGCATCTTGCAGTATATTTGTTTTTATGAGAAGACATTCACTGTACTCATTACTGTAATGATTTAATGACTTTTAAATTCCTTCAGCCCCCATCAGTGGGCTTTCAGTTTTTGTGCTGCAATATTTAACACAGCTGTACTGGAGGAGGGGGTGGAAGAAAGGACACCCTTCATTAAAATCTTATCCAGGAAAGTGACTTTTAGAGTGGGATCTCTGAACTGGACTCTTCTACCTTCCCAGCTTACATAGACAACTGTTAAATCTTTTTCCATGCAAGAAAAAAAAAATCTTTAAAAATACTGTTTTCATTCCATTTCATGATAGAAGTCCTATTTCTACAGGGAAAAATAAAAGAGCAAAGTGATCTGCCTTCAAGGAACTAATAAAAACTGAAAGTATGACTGGAGGACACATGGGATAGCAGATGATTCACCTCTTCTTGAAGATGGACAGGTGTTAATGACAGTACTCCCTCTTTGTACCTTTCTCTTGGCATCTCTCATGATCATTTGTACTTTGCTTCCTTTCACAAGGGGATCTGTATGTTTTGAGAAGTCAGAAGACTTTTTGTGGAATAAATACTTTAATGTCCCTATGTATGCCTTTGGCTATTTGCACATTGCTCTGTGAAATCCAAGCTTTGCCCTTTGCTCTCCCTCCACAGCTGCACTGTGGGCTGGGTGACAGTGCAGAGGGAAATGTGGGGCATCCTTGGGGAGTCTGGGTTTTTACAGCACTGCAGATCAAAGCTCTCTACTCACAAAACACTGCACAATGCTGCTAAAAGAGAAGTACTCCACCAGCTCTTCTAGAAATCTGCAATAATCACTCTTCAAGATCCTGGTGCTACAGCATATTCAAGGAGAAACAGCCTGGAAATGCTTTCCATCTTAGGTATTGAGTCTTGCAAGAGAGATTTGCTCCTGCTGAAATATTTCACAAAGTCCACAAGTGGTTTTTAGAGGTGTTGAAGTAAATACTGCAGCGCTAAGGATGATATTCAGAGAGACAGCTGGATGTGCTAAGTAAAGCTGATATCAGGAGATATAACAGGAATTCAGCAATGTACAATGAAACCATGTATTATCTGAGATTTATATCTTTCCACAGTTTCAGTATTGCTGCTTTTACTAAGGAAAAAAAAGACTCCAAAAATGTGCTGGGTAAGATATACTGGTGATGGGATCTCACCTGGCAATTCTACAGATGCTGCAGAAGCTGCTGCATCCAAAAATTATAGAGATTCCTTTAGCAGCTCTAAGCATGGGACAAGATGTTATACTGTTGAAGATAGCTTCAGGAAATTGCTGCTCCAATCAAACCTGCAGGCCTTGCAATTTGTGTTGAAAGCAGATTGGAGTTGGAATTCTCCCTACCCAGGGGAAAAGAAAGCTGCAGGGGCAGAAGAAAGTTAAAGCTCTCCTCTGCGCAGAAGGTGATGTCTTCAGATCCTCCAGCAATAAATCTTTATCTGCTGGCAAGCTCAAATAATTGGAACAGTGACTGTGAAGCAGGTGTGGTAAGCAGCACAGGTAGAGCTGCTCACACTGTAAACAGCTGGAGTTAGCTGAGGAGAAACAACAGCCCTGGGGCTGATCCTGTGAGCCACCAGAGTTTATTTATTTATTCCTGACACCTTACCTCTCCCAAGCACTGCTATTAGCAGTGGAAGGTATTCACATGGTTTTGCTTGAATTGCTTAGCTATATTGTCTAACCTACTCTTTTAGGGAGCTTCTGGAGAGACCCCAGCATCTTCTGTTTTATGTGGAGTGAATGCTCTTCGTGGGGAACTTTGCTCCCTCCTGCCATCCACAACAACTCACTGTGTGCTACAAGCCAGCTGGGTCAGTCTCAATTGCTTCATATCAGATTCAGTTGCTTAATTGGAGTCCATACTGTAGAAACTTTGTGAACTTGCGGCAAAAATAGCCCAATTAAGTACATTTTACCTCTGAAAATGGACACAGTATATGAACTAGCCATCCCCTTTCTCAGCAAAACTCAACAATAGCTAAATGAAGCTAACATTTTCCAACTCAACAGTTCTCTAATACACAGCATTTAGGTAGGAAGTAAAAAGAGGGTTTATTAGCTGACCCAGAAATTATGACCAGTGCCCAAGAAATAGCCCATTCCTAGCAAAAGGAAGAAATGTAAATTGTTCAAGTACAAAAAAGGGAAAGAAGACTGGAAAACATTCAAAAATCTCCTTATAGGAGAGGTAAGTTTTCACCGGAAGTGCTCACTGACAAAAACCATAATGCACTCATAACTATAGATTCAATTATATATCTGAATATAGAATATAAATATCCTCTCCCATCAATCAGAAAAAAATCCTTGCACTGATTTCAGTGAATCCAGCCATCAGCTTGGGTATTGCATGGCTGAACATTTCGCATTGCACTGGGGCTGAATTTAAACTTTGCTACCATAACAGATGGAGAACTCTCACATTTTGGGTGTTTTCTTGGCTACCACAAATGCAAGCCTAATCACAAAGTGGGGTTTACACTTGCAAATTACATGCATGAAGAAGAGGAGGAACTGTGTGGCAAAAAGTTCTAACACGCTGGGTAACAAGATGAGTGAAATAAAGCAGATGGTCTGCAGTCTTATTCATAGCATGAAAACTCAAAAGTTTGGACGCTGGTGCATTACCCATGATATTAAATTAACATACCTCTTATGCGGAACTGAAGCCAGACAGCATCAAAAAAACATTTATAAAATTAATACCAAACTCTTCTACCTTGCAGAAATAGGATGACTGTATCCAAAATTGACTATTGCAACAGTCTCTGATCATCTCCTCAGAAACCAAACATAATTTTGGAGAGTCATAGATGCCCTCTGTCAACACCAGGCCTGAGAATGTTCCTTAGCTTTGTTGAATCTACTGGTACAGCCAAATACTGGGCTAGCAGGGATTATTATGGTTAGGAGAGATTTTGCAGAGCCCACACCAGAACTGTGACTCGTGTCTTCTGACTCATTAAATTTCTGTTAACAAAAGCTTCGTGATAAAGCACAGATGTGCTGTTGTTTGCTTGACTGAAGGGAAAGATTATTGCAGTGTGATAGAGAACCCAAGGAAAACTACTTTTTGAGAAGTGCAATCTTTCTAGCGTGGAAGCTTCAAGTAAGACCTGAGATGTTTCCAAGAAAAAAAAACAGCACAACTCTGCAGCAGCTGAATCCTGCTTGCCTTCTCCCCAGATGACTCCCCATATTCTTCAGGAAAATTTTAATGTGACAATGGCACTTTAGAATCCTAGAGGAGTTTCATGTAGACTGCAACAGTGTTAGGAAATTAAAACAAGGCTGGCAGCAGTATGTGCCCTGAGTGAATTCCTTGATAAACTCACTTTGTCTTTCTTTCAAATAATTCACTTTAATTAGTGCAATCCTATTCAGCAGATTATTCACTTATAAGCTTCCTCTGAGGAGCATATGGAAGTTAATGTCAGCCTCTAGATATGAAGATTCATATTCCTGCTGCTTGTCATCAAAAACTGAGGTTCTTTCTAATCCTCCTCTACTTTCAGATGTGCAAACCACCTCCTGCAGGCAGAGCACAGCGATCCCAGATTTACCTGTAATTTGTGGAGCTTCTGTGACTGCTGACAATCACCTGTGGTCAAGATGCTTATTTCAATCTTCCACTTTTCTCTTCAGCTGTGAGGCTGGATGACAGAAAATTTGTTTTGGTTCTTTGCTCTAGCTACCTGAAACCAGAAAGAAATGATGAGGAATTGGAGATTAGCACCTCAGCACAATGAATAAGGATCAGCAAATGGAGAGTTAAGCACACACACTGACAGTTTCAAATGCAGGTTCTACATTTATTTTGATGCTTCTTTCTTGTGATTTTAAAGGGCAGATATTAGATTTGCTTCTCTAAATAAACTGTCTTCACATTTATAGGCAGGTGTATTGCATATGCATTGTCAGGAGTGAATTACAAAGAAAAAATTCTTAATTAAATTATTAAGTTGGTAGAGTAGTCAGCATTTGGAAACTGTATTATATAAGGGGAAAGCTTCACAAATGGAAGGAGGAAAAGGGTAATAATAATAATAAAAATATTAAATAGATTCAACCAATTACATTATTCCTTTCATTGAAAGCAGAATTAATCATCAGTGAACAAAAGCTGACTTTTTGTCTCTATCTGTGACCTACTCAGTATCTTCTCATTGTGAACTATTCTGTGAATGTATTCATGCTATTTGCTAAGCAAGGCAAGTGTTCCCATGTAGGCTTTTGGGAAAGGAGAAAGCTGGAAAAGGATCATGGAAGCTGTGGTTGTAATGACTGCATCTATCCACAGACATTTCCTATCTGGCTGAGAAGCCACAATGTTCTTCATGTAAGGAAGTCACATTTTCTTGGCTATCTTGATATTCTGTGTTGGATTATAGTTCTACCAGACCAGTTCACAGAAAAGAGTTTTCCTCTAAATTCCTTGTTTTAAGTGACAAAGCACACAAAAACACTCTCAAAGAAAACAGAAGAAAAAAAGCTAAAAATTGCAGAAGATCACAGAAACCTCCCAAATTACTGTTTTTCTCATAAAGACAGTGCAGCACCTAAAAACATGTGTTAGGCCAACACACAAAACCCCCTCAATCTGTCCAAAAGACAAAATTTGTTCTTCTTTCTCCTCCTGCACCTGCATTTCTCCTCTTTTGTCCCGATTTCATCTGATAGTTTAATGGCATATTTTACCTCATACTGATTCTCAACTCTCTATTTCATTTCTCCCTGGCCTAGTAATAAGATTGCAAAGCTCACATTTCAGCTTCACCCTGTGGAGAAGCAATGCTGATTTGCTTTCCTTCCAGATGTGAGGCAACCCGTTTATGTTTAATATTTGCTCTTCAGTCACACAGAGGCCTGCAGATTTAACTACATTTTTATGCATTATAAATGCACATACATTTGAAAGAATAAAATTCCTCCTATCCAACATCCCTCTAAATGGAGCTGAGGTGAGCTCTTGTTTCCCTGAGGCTGCCTGACATTTGAAGATCACTTTTAACCATTTTGGGTATGAAATGTATTTTTTCCCTTCTTGGCTCCCTGTGCTCCTGTGTCTCCAAGTGCTTCCCCAAAACAGGCAGGGAGTAACCCTCCAGACAATGTGCTGAGGAGGAAAATGGCTGGAGAGAGAGCAGGTGTACAGATACACTTTAAGGTGTATCTCCCAGATTCACTGGAGGGCTCAGGAACATTCCCAAGGCTGTGGAAGGAGCACCCATGGCCCTGCAGTCCTCTGCCACCTGGACTTAGTTCCCAGCCTAGTGAAACTTTCAACCTTTTCAGTCAAGTTAAATTCTCATTTAATTTAAGATTAACTTTAACTTAAGATGTCAAGCTGTGATGATTCATGGCTTGCCCTGGATATCAGCATCAAGTGTCCAGGCCCTAAGGCTCTGCAGTGCCAGAGGAGCAGGAGACACAGGCTTTGTGTTTTGGGTAAGACACATCCTATATTGTGAGCCCAAGCCCTTTGCAGCCCCTGCAAACCCACTGCTTATGGCATTCCTGTTTTCTTCTTGTGGCAGGCAGGGATCATTGAACAAGAGTCATACTGCTACAAAACTCGTGCTCAAAGAGATGGCAAAATATTCTAGAGTAAGACGCACTTCAATAGCCTTCTTAATGTGTGTATTTGTGGATGGCTTGTTTCTGAATGGTCTTTGCAAGCCTCATTTGCAAGTCACAATACATGGTGAATAATTGCAATTACTGAGAGAGACTATGATGATTTGCTTTGGACAAAAACCCACACAGAACCTGTCTGTCTCCAGCACCAGCTGGAAAGGAATTTATGAAGTGGAAGCTACTTATCACATGATGTGAAATGAAATATTTTATGGACTTATCATTTTAGATCTCCAAATCTAAGGACATTTTTTGTTCAATCAGAAATCAGTGTAGACCAATTACAGAGCATCAGGAGTGGTACTGACTATTCTCTTTCAGTTTGTTTAAAGACAGGGTGTCATAGTGACATTGTTGACTCTGATTTTTGAAAACATGCAGAGAAACAGCTGACAACACATACTGCAAAATCCAGAAGCAAAGGCTGATTAGAAATTAGCAACAAGGATTTCAAAACATAAAGCATGACCCATCTTGTCACAGTGAAAGGAATCACTGAACAAGGTGACTAAAGATATGGTAGATTTACCAGCATATGAAGCTTTGAAATTAATTTGTTTTCAGCCACAGCAGTTTGTGCAATTTAGGACATGGCCACATCAACCTTTTTCCCCAGCAGAAAAGAGTGGGAGAGACTGCACAGCCAAGGATAAGACTATTCATTTTGGCAGAGTGCTTACATCAGCTAAAAGCTTCCTGCACCCTGAAGAAGCACAGAATACTTTGTAGTATAAATAAGATTATTACTCTTGAGGAGCTTATTCATTGTGTTTGGAATGCATCCCATACAGTTCTGGATGACTGCACCTGAGGCAGTCACCTTAGGCTTCCATGCTAATTACTGAAGGTAAAAATAAAGCACAATTCTTATGGCTTGCATGAATTCCATCTTAGAAGTGATTTTTTTTCTCTCCACTGACTCTCAGCAATGTTAGGGTGGCTTGGAGATATCTGATTTGTGAAACTCATCCCTTGAACTGGTAGCAGAGACAGTGAGAAAGAAATTCCATGCCTATTGATGCTTCCTAGGATACCTGAGGTCTATGCAGCCCCTACAAGATATTCACAAAGGTAATTTCCTTTGAAACTTCTGCCAAATCCTTGTGTGCTATCAAGGAAGGGAGAGAGAGCAGTGTCTTCTGCTGATCCCAGCTTGGCCTTGGCTTCAGGCTGGAGGCAACAGCTCAGTCCTTTGAGGGACATGCACAGAGTGAATCCTTTATAGACAGGCTGGATGGTGTCTACCTTGCTCCTGGGGCAGCTGCTTTGGTCTGCAGTAAAGCTCCATGGTGTTTTATCACTGGCTTGAAAACAAGCCCTGCTCTGGGAAGGGATTCTGGGCTGGATCCCAGCAGCAGGGTCCATCTGGATTTCTTAATATGTCTGAAGGGGTTTCTCTGCCATAGATTTTATGGACATATTAAGGACTTAAAGGAATATCTAGCCAGAGTATAGAAAATTGTATTTCATAGAAATCAGAGCCCAGACACCTTCAGTGACCTTTAAGGAGAGAAGCGGCATCTTCCCATAACACATGGAAGAGATGTGAGGAAAAATAAAAGATTAGATGACATTTATTTCATTTCTAATCTTTCTAAACATAATTTCAGCATGATCTGAAAGACAGCAGCATGAGCAGATTGTTACTTCAATAGGATTATTGTCAGAAGCTGGCTGTGTTTGTACTACAATGTGGATACATTTCCATGTTTGATAAGTTACAAAGACTGCTAAATGTATTTCATTTTAGATATCAGATTTGCTGCAATCTCTATTTTTCTCATATCTGAAAGATTATATCTGTGAACATCTCACAGAGGGCTGAAATCTGGACACTAAGTTCTAAACTCAGTTTGTTTAATGTTTGTTACGAGGTGTAGATTTATTGATATGTCAGATGGGTGTAACAGGGTGCCTGTCTTTAAGAATCTTCCTTATTTCCCTGCATGGATCCAGACTCTGCAGTCATATCTCCACTTGTGACACTGAATTCCCCATAATCCACACAAATCCAGTGTTTGGATGCAGATACAGGCTGTGAGCAAGGCTGGAGAAAAGCCATAGCTGCATCCTGAGCCTTCCTTACACCTAGGGATATGCACATTCCATATGGGACACAGACCCTGCATTGTGGCTGTCCCTCAGCAGGAAGTCCACAGTGCTTTACAGTGGTGTTATGGGGGCAAGAACCAGGAAAAAAAGTCAGATGGACTTTTCCCTCTCTGCCATCTGCCACAAGGGAGAGTAGGAGCTGTGAGGGGTTCAGCTGGTGGGTGTCCAATGCAAATACAAGGTGTGCACCTCTACACTGCTCCCAGGCTCTTTCACAGATGCCTTAGCCTTGATATTATTTCTAGGGCTGGATTTCATTTCCCTCAGCTGGCAGACACCCAATTAATTCTTTGAAACCATAGTTAAGCAACAATGATTTACAGTTAAGATGTCTCAGCTAATCACAGCATAATTAATTGCCTCTAATACTTTTATGTCCTGGAGAAGGAAGGCTTTAATACCAAGGAGTTTTGGCTGCACTGCAATGATGGTTTGTAGGACATCCCTTTTTAAAAAAGCTATTGCCTTATTGTTTGGGAAACTGAGAATTCCAAATAGCTTGAATGTAAATTTGACATTTTGATATATTGTTCATTACTGCAACATTTTCAGCTCTTAGGTAGGATAAATAAACACAAACCAGTTGAATTTCATTTGCTGATACATTGTGAAATTTCCCACTAAGAATGCAGCAGACAATATCCAAGATCATAATTCAGAGCTTTTATATGTTTACCAGAACATGGGATAAAAATAAACTCGCTGGGCTGGGAATCAAGACTTCCCTTTTCCTATTTAATGAGTTGTCAGTGTAATCTGGAGGAGACCCATGACCCTCAGTGAACAGAGGTGATTGGAAAAAGCAAAGAAAGTTGCCTTCAGGCAGCCACAACCCTATGAGAGTCAAATCTGAACTTTGGATGGCCTGTGGGAGCAGGATGAGCTGTGTCCTGTGTAGGAAAACCTTTGGCAGGAGCTCATATCTGCCAGAGCATCCTTTG